TTATTATTATACTTAAGTTCTGGGATACATGTGCAGAACGTGCAGGTTTGTTACATAGGTATACACGTGCCATGATGGTTTGCTGCACCCATCAACCTGTCACCTACATTAGGTATTTCTCCTAATGCTATCGCTCCCCTAGCCCGCTGACCCCACAACAGGCCCTGGTGTGTGATGTTCCCCTCCCTGTGTCCATGTGTTCTCATTGTTCAACTCTCACTTATGAGTGAGAATATGTGGTGTTTGGTTTTCTGTTCCTGTGTTAGTTTGCTGAGAATGATGGTTTCCAGCTTCATCCATGTCCCTGCAAAGGACATGAACTGCCAGCAATTCCATTACCGGGTATATACCCAAGGGATTATAAATCATTCTACTATAAAGACACATGCACATGTATGTTTACTGCAGCACTATTCACAATAGCAAAGACTTGGAACCAACCCAAAGGCCCATCAATGATAGACTGGATAAAAAAAATGTGGCACATATATGCTATGGAATACTATGCAGTCTAATACAGTCTTTATATGACATTTAAATACTTTTAAAAACAGTAGGCTTTTGTTCTGTTCCACTGATTTTCTATTCTGAAATACATTTTGTGCTGTTTTATTTTTAAGCTTTATAGCTTGTCTCATTACTTGGTATTCTAAGTCTCCGATAATTATTATTTTTTTAATTTTCAAAATTTCTTTACTATTCTTATCTGTTTTCTCCTAATTAAATTTGCAAAGCTCTTAAGAAGTTCTAAAATAAACTTTGGGCATTTTATTTAGAATTACATTTTGTATTGGAGAATCTGAGGAAAATTTAAATGTCTTTTGTAATTATGCGTCCGCATTCTTAGGAATATGTTATATCTATCCAGAAACTTGTTCAAGCCGTCTTCAGTCAAGTGTTAAGGTGTTCTTCATATAGCTCCTACTAATTTATTGTTAAATTTATCTCTCTGTATTTGTATTTAGTGTACATAGATATTTTTATTCAAACTATCATCTCATTAATATATTAATAGAAAAACAAATCATTTGTATATATCCATTTACGATCAATCTATTTTTTGAAATCTGAATTTTTAAAATACTTTTTCACTTGATTCTGATGGGCTTCTTAAATATATCATCAAATAATGATAATTTTGTCTCTACTGGATGATAATTTTTTCCTAATAGATTGAAATCATAGTTTTGCTTCCATCCTTTCTTGCATAGGATAAAGTTGTTACAATAATGTTAATTTTGGGTTAATAGTAGGCATCATTTTCTTTACTTTAATGGTAATGCAGTGAGAGTTTAAGCTTGAAATAGGTTTGCTGTTGTTTGAAGCATTCTGTATCTCATAATGGATTTTCTTTATTCCTGGTTTACCACTAGATAGATAATAGATAGATAACTGTTTATAATTTTGCCAAGTATCTTTCTTGTGTCTATTGAAAGATCATTTAAAAGTTTTATAAAGCCTCATTCGTAAGATATACTGTCACCCCAGTAACATTTCCAATACTAAACCAGTGTTGCTTTTCCTTGTTTAGTAATGTTGCATTATTCTTTTAATATAAGCAAACTAACCTTGGAGTTTAACTATTACTTCTATTTATTTTATGAATTCCTTAAGTCCATTTTTACATGTAATAAAGTGAAAATATACTTTATTGAGATGCTTAGGGTAGTAGGTCAGGCTTTTTTTGAGGGGGGTAAATTTGTGACTCAGTGTATGAGTCATTACTGAGGGGGAAAAAATAATCACTAAAGACATTGTAAGTGAACCAGAGTAAAGTTATGTTTCAAAAATGATGATAGAGGAAGTTGTGGAATCGTTGTATTTTCCTCATTGCAATGCCCACCAGGGAATTTTCTTCTAAGTTCAGCTGCAAGATATCCACAGGCCACATGCGATAATAGATTAATTTAGAAGGATATAGGACAGGAGATGTAGCTCATCAGCAGGGCAGCATTGCTCATTTTTCTTCAATGTGAGTTGTACTTGCAGCTTTCATTTAGAACAGGGATGACATGCAACATGATACCTATGTTGAGTGAGTGCAGAAACCCACCTGGCTTAGAAGCCTGGTAACACAAGTCATCAGTAGCTCTTGTAATAACTCCAAAGGCATAACTTTCAGGGTCCCCAAAAGGGACAGTCCCAGTCACACGAATCACTGAAATGGTAGAAGCTCAAAGACATGGCTTCCTTTCATGGATTTTTTGTTCTCTCAATCCAAATGACATTTTCCACTCAAGGATCATTTTACTACAAGCAACGTGGCCTAAAAGTATAGTAAACATTTGACCTTTTCCATGTTTTCGGAACAGAGCTATAAATTAACCAAAGTACAAATTCTCATTCAGAATAAAAGTTTACTTAGAAATACAGTCTGCCCTCCATATCTGCAGGTTCTGCAGATGCAGATTCAACCAGCCATGAACTGAAAATATTTTTAAAACACAATAGAGAGTAATAATATAATAAAAATACAAATTAAAAACAATACAGTGCAACAACTGTTTACATACTATGCATATTGTATTAGGTATCATAAGTAATCTAGACATGATTTAAGTATACTGGAGGATGTATAGAGATTATATGCAAATACTATGCCATTTTATAAAGGACTTGAGTATCCCTGGATTTTGGTATCCACAGGGGTTCTGAAATCAAACCCCAACAGATACTGAAGGACGACTGTATGTTCTATTATTTTTGGCATAATTAAATATATACAAATGTAATGTTTTTCATCCTGTCTATGTAAATTAAAATTCCAACTTTAAACCCTATTTCTTCTTTTGTTCTTCATTTTTTCACAGGTAAAATATGGAAATTATGCTTTTGTATGGGATGCAGCTGTATTGGAATATGTGGCTATCAATGACCCAGATTGTTCCTTTTACACCATTGGAAATACTGTTGCTGATCGGGGATATGGAATTGCATTACAACATGGCAGTCCTTACCGAGATGTTTTTTCACAAAGGTAAGATTTGTGTATGACCAAATAAGGGGAGAGATGAAATTTAGACAAAGAATATCCATTGGTTACCCGATCTGGTTTATTACATTTTGTTTCCTTTGTTAGGAGAAGCACAATAAACAACAACAACAAAAAAGATAGTTATAAGTGGTTGTTCAATAAGACACTCATTACCTAAAACATGAAGTATTATTTTTCCCATAAGTAGTGGGAGAAATAATGCTACATATAACTGGTTTTACTTTCAAAAAATTGATATGGTAAAGAAAGTAGGTGTGTTAGTTATTTCTATTAGAAGTAAACTAGTAATCTACTCTGAATTTTTAGTAACAAATGTCACAGAGTTAAGAAAATGAATTCATTCTAAGAATACAAAAGCATAACATAAACTTCAGGACCAAGTTAAAGTTCTGATGAACTGAAGCACATAATGACAGGGCTGTTTGCACCTGAATTTTGCAAAGGAAACAGTTAAGATTTTGGAATTCCCCACTTAGCATCAAAGTATACGGTAGATTTTGTCATGGAAATCAAGGAGATAACTTACTAAGACATTATATCCATTTTCAAATAAGAATGTTCTATGATAAAGTAGTTGTTTACAATGGAAGACTTTAAAATATATATTTTAGATTAACAATGCATATGAAAGACTTGGGCCTGAAAGGAATGCACAAAGATTACTGCATTTCATTCTATCTCCTACCAAACAAGCCTGGACCTAAGACAGATTAATATCTTCCACGTAGAAGTATATCCTATTTTATACTGAAAGTACATTTTGTTTAGTTTCTAGATTTTCTTCTACCTATTCTCTAGAATCTAATGATAGTCTAAGAGGGCAGTTCCAGATAGTACTAAGGCCGTAAATTTCAAACAATTTGAGTTATATTTCTCCAAATTTTAGGATAACAAAACAGCCAGGCATTTTGTGTGTATTTTTTTAAAAGAACTAAAAATCAGTAGTTCACAATTCATGCCATAACTCTTCCATTAGCAAACCATAAAAATCTAAACCTCTCTCATGACATGTAAAATGAAGTTAGATTAATTCTAAGGTCCTGTATTAGTCAGCTTTTCTGTGTAGAAAACAACTCTAAAGTATAAGTGATTTAGAAAAGTTACTTCTCATTCATGAAACAAGGCTGTAATTTGGTTGTGCTCTGCTTCAAACTGTGGGTCAACTGCAGGTCTACTCTGTGCAAGCTTCTCATTCCAAGGCCCAGGCTGAAGAAGCCGACCTAACAGGGACATGCTGTTCTCACTGCAAAGAGCATTTGCAAAAGAGGTTGGCAAAAACCTGCAGTGTCTCCTGTGCTTCTTGCTTGGATGTGGCATATGTTCCATCTGCCCACAGATCACAAACCAAAGCAAGTCTCATGGCCAAGCTCAAAATTAATGGAGTGGGTAAATGTACTCCACATACAGGGAAGGAAGGAGTAAAGGATTATGAACAGGCTGGACGCAGTGGTTCATACCTGTAATCCCAGCACTTTGGGAAGCCAAGGCAGGTGGATCACTTGAGGCCAGGAGTTTGAGACTAGCCTGGCCAACATGGAGAAACCCCATCTCTACTAATAATATGAAAATTATACAGGTGTGGTGGTGCATGCCTATAATCCCAGCTACTTGGGAGGCTGAGGCATGAGAATCGCTTGAGCCTGGGAGGTGGAGGTTGCAGTGAGCTGAAAGTGAAATACATAGGCATTAACTGAGAAGCAAAATACTAAATAATAATCAAAACACATTTATTGATGAGCAAATTCTCAGAGGAACAAACTACAAAAATCAATTATGCCATAGGGAATCAGTTTCTGTATCATGCCATAGAGAATCAGATTTCTGAATTAGTCTGTAAAGCACTTGGCATCTAGTTGGAGATACAAGACCCACGCACAAGAAACAAAGAACAATACAGACATTTCTATAAATGTGTGTTGATATATATGTATATAATATCAGTATTGTTTGTTTATATTATTTGAAGTTATATAGTTAAGGTATTGAAATAATTGAACAGCATGCAGAGTAGTTAACAAAGGAAAATGAGTGAAAACTCTCCAGGGAAGGTAAGCCTGGAACTTGACCTTAATCAGGCAAGGGCAAATAAGGAGAAATAACAAATAGAAGAGACCCTTCTAAGGGAACAAACACACCGCTGCTTTTAATTTAGATGTGAGAATGGAAAAGCATAATAGAATAAAAAGGGATCCTGGGTTTCATGGTGAAAGACCAGCAGAACTTTTTAATGAATCCTTAACATTACTCAGATAATTGAGAAAAGGATTATTGATTATTGATTAGTTATGGTTAATTGACTTTTTCATTACTAAAAATGTTCTTGTTTTTCGGACTTGATTTTCTGGATTTTTTTTTTTTTTTGAGACATTGTTTCACTCTTGTCGCCCAGACTGGGGTGCAGTGGCGTGATCTCGGCTGACTGCAACCTCCCCGTCCCGGGTTCAAGCGATTCTCCTGCCTCAACCTCCCGAGTACCTGGGATTACATGTGCATGCCACCACACCCGGCTAATTTTTTGTATTTTGAGTAGAGATGGGATTTCACCACGTTGGGCAGGCTGGTCTTGAAGTCCTGACATCAGGTAATCCGCCCGCCGCAGCCTCCCAAAGTGCTGAGATTACAGGCATGAGCCACCACACCCAGAGATTTCCTGTATCTTTTATGTAAAAAGTAATGCATGAACATAATAGTAATTAAAGAAATATTTAATAAATTACACCAAGTGTTGCATTTCTTATTAGCCCTGTGGTGCTTTACCTATCAGAGATTTTAATTCTCAGAAAATGTACTCTAGTGAACTGCTAAAAAGTAATATTAAGCATTGAACATTATTTTTCCTTTGTTTGATATGCAGTATAGATGTTGGCAGTTTAAATTGTTCCTTTCTGTGGAGTTTCTTGATAATGACATCCTGCATCCTGATTCCCTGGACAAATGGAGAAAGGGAGAGCCAGGAAAGAAGCAGGACCTACCTGCCTGGCAATCATCAGTGGTGTGCCAGCTCCTCTCTTTATGCACATGTGCCACATTAATTTATCACCCAAAACCTCTTGCTAAATTCAGAAAATATTTGCATTTGTTCCTTTTTTTTATAGCCATAAGGAAAAAGAGACCTTCCCTTTTTGTTAACTGATTTCAAAAACTATGAAGATCATCAAATTTAACCATTTTAGTACATTCTGGTCAATACGTTTCATACATCAGCATCCAGGGCCATTGATTAAACTAAATCACTTATTATTATTGTGATTATCTTCAATGAAAATACAGTATACTAGGTGATTTTAATAATTCAATATTACTTTTCAGGTGACTATATTTCTATAACAACTTCTAAAATATTAAGGTACTTTAATATGTAACAAATATTAGCATGTAAAATGAAAAATATATAGTGATACAGTAACTACATTTATTATCTGCTACCTGTCAGATGTCTTCTATGTTTATGTATTTCACAGGCACTTTAGAACAATCATATGAGGTGTTGCACATTTGTTCATTATAGCATTGCTTATTAGTGCATGACTGCTATGCTACAAGTGCATACACTGAGTGGATGAGTCTGCACCTGGACAACTTTTGAATTCAGCTTAGGAGATGTGGGTTATAGTGATACACTCACATGTACGATTGTATGTGAGTGAACACACATTGGAATGACTTCAAGGAACCAGTAAGCGCTACAATTTATATAACCATAGAAATGGCTAGAAGAGTTTTGCTTCCTTTTGTGTCCTTTCTGCACATAAACTAGATAACTTGGCAGCAGACGTTAAAGTCAGTCTTTTTTTTTTTTTTGGTAATCAGATGTGTGTGGGGGGGGTAAGTAAGGCTTGCAGTGAATTCTCTACCTGACACTATTTGTCATCGGATGTTTTATGTGGTACTCACCTTGTAACTTCTTAGTTTAAAAAAATTTAGTCATATGTTGTCTCATTAAAGGCGTTTAAGAGTGAAGAAAACTGAATTTTTCAGGTTGCCTTCATCGTGCAATAAATAAAATTAACTCCAGTGTTGACTTCAGAATCTTAACGATGCAGAAAGCTAAAAAGAAAACCAAAAAGAATGAGCTCACGTCTGTTCTCAAATCTTAAGTGGATATTAGGAAAAACTAATTCATTAGTTTAATTTTATAGTTCATCCATAAAGAGGTCACATTTTGCTTATTGGCTTCTAGTCCCTAAACTTGGGATATAGAACTACCCAAAGCACAAAAACAATTACATGTTCCAAGTTGCATGGAGAATAATTTTTCTTGGATTCATGATAGTGACACATATATAAACAGGTGTTCAAACTAATCACAGAATTTGAGAATTTTTGGAAATGGAATTAACAGTATCTATCCTCTTTCTGACAGGGATGAAAGTAGTTCACAGGAATAAACAACTGGCTTAGAATCACAAAAAGAAGCAATAAAAGTGGAAAAAATTCAAAATTTCTGATTTCATATCCATTTTTCTGGTCACTATACATTCTATCTTCCCTTATATTTCTTGTAAAAGCATGTAAGAATAATGTCAAGCTTATATTCTTATATTGTCCTTACTACATGCTAGACTCTAAGCTCCTACACATAATAACCTGTGAGGTAAATACTGTTGCTGTCCTAATTGTACAGACCCAGAAACTGGGACATAATGAAGTAAAGTAACCTGCGCAAGTTCACGAAGCTGTCGATTATTAGAGCTGAGATTCAAACCCGGAGTCTGGCTCCAAAAATTGGGTCTCTTAACCATTCTGCTATACTGCTTTTCCCAAAAATGATATATGCTTTTAACAAGTGTGTTTCAAGTAAATACTTAGGGATTCTCTTTCTATCTCTCTCTACACATGCACGCATGCACAGACACAGACACACACAGAGTAGAATTAATCACAATCCTTGATCCTTCACCGATACTGTCATTATTGGTCCATAAATAGGTACTTTTATGCATTTATTTGGTTAGTTTTAAACTCCTTAGTTGTAGTCTTTT